CAGCGCGCAGAACCGGCCGGCGAAACCACACCTCTACTGCTTTAACCTTTGACCTTTGACTTGAAGTCAGTTCACTGTTAGTCCTTCCCCTCCAGAACACGGCTGCTCAAGCCTGTGGAGACCTATAGCAACATCCATGAGGAATGAGCTCGATTTTTAGAGCCCAAAGACTCTAAAGAGGTTAAAAGCAGCTCACACAGTGTGAGACTGACCATGTGCACTTATGTGTGTGTTTTTGTGTAGGTTCCCAGCAGTGCTTGATCCCATTGCTGTTTTCAGATAAATGTCAAGCAACTGACCTCTGCTATATACATCAGCTGCCACAGCGTGATTTTAGATGCATTTTAGCAGCTTAGAGGAAACGTTCAGTGGGGATTCTTTTAAAGATTTTACTACGTGTTTAGTGCACGAGTGAATGAGCGATTTTTAAAGATGTTCACCATTAAAATAAATGTATAACATTCTGTGATTACGGACCAAATGAACCGGTGTTCATTAGTAGTCACTCTAAGCCTCTACAGCTGATGTTTGAGTGTTTTCTGTGTCTAAGCGAGCGCGTATGAGTCTCAGCGGATCCTCACCGAGGTTTGGCGTTCATGTTAGAAATAACGAGCTTATATTGACTGTTCCTGTGGGAGTTTGATCACTGCTTCACTGCACTGGTGTAACGCACTTGTAATGAGGATTTTAAATGCAGTGTAAGAGGAATATTGAGAGTCTGCGGAGTTTAAATGTTTTTCAGTCATTTTCTGTGCTTTATAACTGGATATGTAGCTCTTAAGATCGATCTTTGACAGACTCCAGTTTGCAAAATCGGTAGTTTTGCATTATTCATCAAAACACTTCTGGTATCCTCTCAGGGTTTCTTCATGCGATCTTTGTGTCTCTCACTGAAGCAAACTTTTTCTAAAGCATTTACAACATGCAGTAATGTTAAAATAGTTTTTAAGTGCTAGCAGTATGCATTATTTCTCTTTTGTATGAGATGTAAATGATTGTCTAAATAATTAAATGTTTAATAAAGTTTGTGCCTTAACACCTAAATTATATTGTTTTCTATTCCAAGAGCGATTAGAATGAGATCTGATTTGCTTTTATTGAATGTGAGAAATGTGTGAACTTTTGATGTGACAGACCATCATTAGTGTATTATATAATTGCAATATATTTTGTGACATAATTGTGAGTGAAACGATGAGAAATGTCAGGCAGGACTTGATTTTATGCATCTGGAAATAACTGGATTGTGAAACGAATCATTTCACATTAGATTTTGCATAATTCAAATAAAATGTATTTAACTATTTATAAGAATAATAAAAAATATGGTAAAAAAAATTACAATTATACATTTGTTTACATGTTATATAAAATTATAGAAAATAAAATCTTGTTTTTATTTTAAATTTTGTATGTTTAAATTATTTTATTGGCTCAAAGTCGATGTGAAACGGCATTTGCGATGCATTTTATAAGCAATATAAATTTACATGCAATAACATGTAATTGAATACTAAATTAAAGATGGTGTAAAACCTGAAGTCTTGAGTAGTTATTCAATACCCTCAGCACATGAAACTAGAGAAGGACATAGCCAGTTCATTCAATGCTTTTAATCACTTTCAATGCTACTTCCTCTCATACCCACATAAAACAGTTACAAACACAGGCAAAAAACAAACAAAAGAAAACAAGCTTTTTCATTCAAATGGCACATTGTGACATTCCCTTTACAAAGTCAGGTGAAGTAATCATTCACAATATGCCAATTTTACTGTTCCAAAAATGATTGTGCTTTCACATGGCTGAATCAGTCGATTTGACTTTTCCAGACTGAAGCCATGATGATGGAGAGATGGAAAAGTAATCGGATCTCAGTGTTTGACAGATTCCACAGGCCCTTCCTGCAAAACCCCTCATGCGGAATGACTGATGGACATCCAGGTTGCGCAGTGAGTGCGTGTGACCCTGTAATGGAGGATTGTGGGATTTGTAGGGCAGCTCTGAACGACGGTTTGTAAACTCAAGAGTCTCTGACGGCCTTTAGCTCTTCCTCAGACTGATGTCTGTGCTGGAGAGCAGTGGCGAGAGAGATGTGCTGTCAGACGTGTCGTCCCTCTTCAGCACCAGAAACGCCTGGCGGCTGATTCCCAACAGCTCTCGCAGACCTCTGTTCTCCAGCTGCACACAACAGCATCAACATATAAACCATTACAAGTGTCCTGTTTATTGCGGTATAGGGCTAGGCGGTAAGTGATTATATGTAATCTGGATAATGCAATCAGATTAAAAAAAATAATGACTTGTAACTTAATATTATGTTTTAAAATACTCAATAGTAAAATAATAATCAGATAAATAAAAAAAAATGTAAAATACTCACTAATGAAATAAACAGATAAATAAAATATATTATGTTTTAAAATACTCATTAATCAGATAAGTAAAATAAATAAATAAAAATAATCAAATAATCAGACTAGAGTTCCTTTGTTATTGATTACATATTATTTACACAATAGTAGTCATTTACTTTTTTGTCCGCCGAATCCTTTGGACCTAAAATACTAAATATTTGAATACGAGATTTTAAAATTTTATTATTTCAATAATAACAGCACCACAACATATTCACAGATCTTGGATGGTGGTTAATGGTTGTATGATATGCAGGTAAAAAAAATAAAATATATATATATATATATATATATATATATATATATTTAGAATTATATAAAATATTTTTATTAATATATAAAAATGGTATAATGTATAAAATTACAAAATATATACTGTATACAATTCTATAAATATAAAATATATTATTTTAATAAGTGTTGTATATGATTGTTTTTATTATTTATTTTAATTGTACATTTATATGGTTTAATTAATTATTAGCTTTTATCCTTCGCACACCACAGTTTGGGAAACCCTTACATAAATGAATGTTTAATGCACTGTTGCTAACGCAGAATGGAATATATTTAATTTATCTATGTATTTTTGTATCAATATGACACAAGACTTTTAAATCTATGAGTTAAACAAGTCAAAGGTAATGAAAGCGTAGTCGGATTACATTACCTAAAATGTGTAATCTAATAGATAATGTTACTAACTACAATTTTCTTCATGTAATTTGTAATCAGTAACAGACTACACTTTTTAAGTGCTGATCATGCATTAAGCCTTCAAGTGATATCAGCCTAATATAACTATAATTATTATTTTCATCTTTCTTACATTGATTTTGTGCCATTGTTTGCAATATATTTTAATAACGAATTCAATGTGGTATATTTAGTGTGTCTGACCTCCAGACGTTTCATTCTCTCCTCATCCTCACACAGTCGCCCTTCATCCACCTCGATGGCTTTCCTCATCACTGTGGCCATTTCGTTTATTTTCTCAATGTGCGCCTGCATCTCCTGCGACATAAACACAGTGAATGACTATTTGGACACCAGAATTAGAGGGAATCTCATAAAAAGCGTCTGTAAGACTGACATTAGTGTGCTGTTCTCTGAGCTGGGTGACGATAGCAGGATCGTCTCTCTTGCTGGCCATCAGAAGGCGAAACACCTGCTCTCTGTATTTGTTCATAATGAGCTCCAGTGCAGACTGATGCTCCTCCAGTGACGTGCGCAGCTCTGCCGAGACAAATGTGCGGATTTGGATTTAAAACAGCCCTCAAATGACATCCAGTGACAGCTTCTAATTGCAAACCCTCCTAACACCTTTGTTTTCTTGCTGCAGTTCCCGTATTTGCCGGTTTTCCTGCTGGATGCCCATGACCAGCGTGGAGCGCGGCCGGTGTCTCGCCACCTGGTTCAACACCTCAATCTCTTCCTGGTACTGAAAGAACAAGAAATATGAGTACAACAACTCTCATCCCCATTAGGCAGACTGAGAACAAACACTGATACCTGTTTCATGGCCTCCACTCTCTTGTTCAGCAGTGTGGTTTGTTCGATCAGGATCTCAGCAGCACTGTCATGATCCCGGAGCCGCTCTACCAGTGATCTGGCATCGGCCAGCACCTTCTCCAGTGTACAGGTCATTCCTGAAGAGCACAAGAAACACTTGGACTGTGACTTAAGTCATGATCCCTTTCATAAATACACACTCTTAAATTCTACAAATGCTTAGATAAGTGGAAAACTGATTTGCTGCAACTACTGTTATGTTGTGGCTTATTTATACACGTTAACGTAACTTATATGGCTTGATTTCAGAAATACTGAAAGGTAGGTGTCAAATGTTTTGGTAGAAGCCTAGCATTAACTTCTACGAAAATAAATACGCTAACGTTAATTGTTTTAATAAAATACTAGATCGTGTAAATAAACACGAAGCTAGAAACACTTTTTGTTTTATTATATTTCCGAATAAAACCGTGAATAATTTTAAATGAATAGAAAAGCTTACCTTATCTTACAGCAAGGGCTCAGTTGGAACACTTCCGGTTGCTGCTGCCATGACGTCACGCGCAAGTACTTCTGGGAGATGTAGGCGGCAACTTTCTTCCATACACCGTCCGCATGGAGGCGCAATGGACAAACTTTCTGAATGTTTAAAGTGCAATCAGCAACATGAATGTTTTGTTTATTACTGTAAAATCCATCCTTTCGCAAATTCCTTTGGTGAAGCTTATTAATAATCTCTAAATGCATCAATTTGCACTGGCTACCAGTAGCTGCTCGCATTAAATTCAAGGCATTAATGTTTGCCTACAAAACCACCACTGGCTCTGCACCCACTTACCTAAATTCATTACTTCAGAGTTATGTGCCCTCTAGAAGCTTACGTTCTGCTAGAGAACGGCGTATTATTGTGCCATCTAAAAGAGGCACAAAATCACTTTCACTATAAAACAATAATCATGTTAATGTCTTCTCTACTTTCTCTACTGTAATGCAGTGCTTTGAAACAGGGACCTCCCACTTGCTCTCGTGTCCCCGCCCCTTTCCATTGAGGCTTCTGATCTCTGCTCTGATTGGCTGTTTTGAACCGCGAGTCCCTCTCAACTGAACATTCCAAGACTCGTGGAGGAAAAGCAGCTCCAGCGGCTTCAGCTGATGCTCAACGCACCCACGCGCGCTTGCCCCTGCAGCCGCGGAGCGAAGAGAAGCAACTACACACACAGCTAAACACACACTTTTAACGCTGGTGAGTTTATTCGTGTTGTTTTTTCAACCCCAAACTCTCGAAACCAGAGAGAGGGAGAGAGAGGACTTTGTTTATTTGATCATTATGTCCTTGTTTTAAAAGAGAAGTTTATTAGAAAAGTAAATAAAATGTCAGCAAACCTGTCTCAAATCATAAAAGCCGGGTTTTGTTGTTTATTTTTGGCATTTACACTGAAAGATGAGAATTGTTAGGAAGTTGCATGACTTTTCCATGGAGAATGCGTGATGAATCAGCAAGCATTTAAAAATACAGCACGCATATTTGCGATAGTGGATCATATTCTAATGGTTTGAGCTAGCATGATCTTAAAATATTGAGCTGTCTGTCTCTGAATGTGTCAGTGGTGATTGACAGATACATGTTTCTACAGGGACATTGAGATGTTGCCCGAACATGTATCATATTCTGCCACGTATCTCATTCAAACTGCTCATTACGATGATCATCTGAGCTTTAGGCTGAATGTTATAGCTTCATCTCTCAGAGATGTGTGCTAAATATACATGCAGCACCAGAGGAGGGGAAATCTGCAGGTGTTTCCTGATGGAAACTGCAGCCATAAAGTTTTCAGCATGTCCTTGAGCTCTGGCAGGGAATTCTGTTTATCGCCAAAGATTTTCTTGGTCATGCTGTTAACAGATTAAATGTGCCAGTAAAACATTTCAGGAAGCTGAGTTATTATTTTATGGCATGTTGTGAATAACTTGCATTTATTGAGTAGACACTTTGATGCCAAGCAGCTTACAATGAGGAAAAACTATAGCGCAAGTAGTGAAAGACCGATAAACCATCCGATATTTGGACATTTTAAAACCATAGCAATGAATTTCTTTACAGATATTGAGTAAAAAAGGTGTCTGTTGCCACACTTTTGTTGCCATTATTAAACTGTTCTCGTATATAAATGATGCAATTTTAAAAGTTTTATCCGCAAACCTGCTTTCAAGATATCGGTGTTTGCATTGGCCATTGACAACCCATATTAATCAACGACTAATAAGGAAACAGTTTTTTTTATGTTTTAAGAGTTGATGCATATAACTGCATAAGGAATTGCTTTTATTGTTAACCTATTGTTGCTCCACTTTGCTTGAGTTTTTATTTTGAAGTTGCCGTGAAACTGAAATAGTGACATATCTTTACTTGCATATTCTGATAATACCTTCTATCGTTTTCACCAGAAGATCCAGTTAGGAATTTTGATTTAACATTACAAAACATATGCATGGATGAATTGTTCACAATAAGCTCTTGAACATGCACTTAGAAAATATATAGTGTGAATTTCATACCGTCTTTAATTCTGTGATTGTTATTTTTGTGTAAACACTAGCACATGATGTAAGCCTCCCCAAAAACACCCCATATCCTGCAACTTCACCGACCATCTGCCTGATACGCTGCATCAGGGGGTTCTTAAGCTTGAGAAGAGGGAGAAGGGAGTAAATCCTGAAATAAATGAATGGTGGGATTAATTTACCATGATCTCTGGTGCACATGCTGGTCATTGTTATGAATCTTGGATTACTGTTTGTTTATTAATTTGACCCAGAGCAGATGATTAGTGGGACGGGGGTGCTGCAGACCCTCTGTGCTTGCTGCTGACTGCTTAATTGTTAGTGTCTTATAGCAAGTCATTGCATCACCATGACACCGGCTTCTGTTTACATTATGCCATATAGTGTCTCCATTGGTTTTAAGTGCCGGTTTTGTCAGCATTGGTGTCCTGCACTCTGAAATCTAAAGGTTCTTTATTGGCATTGATGGTTCCATTTAGAACCTTTAACATCCGTGGAACCTTTCCATGATTCTTTATGGTGGAAAAAGGTTCTTCAGATTTAAAAAATGTTGTTCACTGAAAGGTTTTTTGGGGAAACTGAAAACAGTTCTTCTGTGGCATCGCTGCCTACAAACAAACATTTGGAGCCCTTATTTTAATGAGTGTGAACAGCTCTCGTTTAATGTTTTAGGTTGGCGTGCAATTCTGAATCTTTTATTTCTGAATCATTGGTGAGGTCATTGTTATGTTGAGCTGTGTTGATCGCTTTGTTTTGGTGAATTGCAGCTTTGTTTTGTAATTGTAGAAGCATGAGAACATAGCTTTCCTCTTGTCTTTTCAATAGGGATTATACTTTAAACTGTGTGACGTGATTCTCTAAAGCCTATAGAGTCTCAATTATTTAATCTCGTTCTTGACTGTGTCCCAAAATGTGTGTAATTTCTCTAACTAGACAGCATTTTGGGTGTTTACAAGCATGTTTGAACATTTTTGCAACTGAATGCACCTAATGCTGTCTAGGTAGGGAGCTCAAGACAGCCAGTGTCGGTTAAATGAAACAGAAATTAAATGTACTCACCCTCAGGCCATCTAATGTTTCTTCATCGGATTTGGAGAAATGTATCATTCCATCACTTGCTCACTAATGGATGTGAATGGGTGCCGTCAGAATGAGAGTCCAAACAGATGATAAAAACATCACAATAATCCACACCACTGTAGTCCATCAGTTAACATCTTGTGAAGCGAAAAGCTGCATGTTTGTAAGAATCAAATCTATCATTAAGATGTTTTTACATTCAAATTGTTCCTTATGGCCAAAATATGAGTCCATAATCCATTCTCCTGAATCAGACGAGATTACTTTTTTTTTTTTTTTTACTGGAAGGAGCGTTATGGATTATGGACTCGTATTTTAGCAACAGTTTGAAGTTAAAATATTTTTTTCCTTACAAACACAGCTTTTGATTTCTCAAGACATTAATTGATGGACTGGAGTGGTGTGGATTACTTGTGAATTATTGTGATGTTTTTTATCAGCTGTTTGGACTCTCATTCTGACGGCACCCATTCACTGCAGAGGATCCACTGGTGAGCAAGTTATTTAATGCTACATTTCTTCAAGTCTGTGTTGGTGCAGAAAAAATAACTTTAAAAGTGTGATGTGTGCATGTTTTTTTAGATAACCGTTCCAGAGTTGGTGGCAGGTGTATAAGAGGGGCTTTACTCTGCTTCACGGGGGATGGGCTTCTGACCCGTGGTTTATCGGACGCCCATCCTCTCCGGGACCATTAATTCTGATTGTGTGTGTGTTGATGGCTCTGCCTACTAATGAAAGCAACTGACAGGCCAATTAAGATCACAAGCAATGCCACAAAAGAGCAGGAAGGGGAGGCGCTTTGATTGATGGCCGGCTATTTTTTGGGACCCATGTGCAAGCCACTGGTGCACATACATGCAAACAAACAGAAAAATGCATGCATACATGCATGTGCCACGTGTCGGCTCATGTCTAGAGGGAGGAGGAGCAGCCGGCCAACGGGGATGCGTCTGGAAGTGTGATCCTCTTACGTGATTATGTGGTGACCTCCTGAGGAGCCATGTGGACAGTGGACACCCCCAGTCCTCGCTCCCTTTGTGTCGTCGCATTTAATTAAAGCAGCAAATCGACTGTAACTCACGCAGACGTTCATTATAGTAGGATTACAACGTTAGAGCGCTTTGTGTTCTGTCTGACGTTCCGCCCAGCCTCATTTCTGCAGCAAAAGTCACTGTCTTTATTTCTTATGTTTTTTGTGGGCGTGTCTTTTATCAGGGCGAGCAAATCGTCTGTTGAGAAGTTACTCATGCTTTTATCAATAGATAAAAACATGAGTAATAGAATTTTAATCCAAAAATTTCCATCAAAACGAATGTCATGTTACATAAAAAATGCGTTCTATACTAATCCAGACTCATGTACTAGTACATATAATTATTCTAAAGTCAAGCCATACAATATTTAATTTAAGTCATTATTCTTTGTTGTTGTTTTTAATATACTTGTTTATTCAATTTGAAGTTTATTGCAGCTATTTGTTGCTGTCTACTTTTGAAAATTTAACATGTTATATTAAATTTCGGAAATATAGGAGAAAATATATGATTGGACTGAAACATTAGTTGTGTTTTAATGTAATCCTGTCATTTATGCAAAACCATGTAGTTTCAAATGGTTTTCTTTGATGTTCCGTGAAACCTAAAAGGAAAGAATTAATAGAATTTTCATGTACTTTTCCATCAAAGTGTTTTAAAGGGGTCATATGATGCGATTTAAATTTTTCCTTTCTTTTTGGAGTGTTACAAGCTCTCGTGCATAAAGAAGATCTGTAAAGTTGCAAAGACTAAAGTCTCAAATCCAAAGAGATATTCTTTATAAAAGTTAAGACTTGTCCATGCCCTCCTAAAACGCCTCGTTTAAACACGCCCCCACATATCTACGTCACGATGTGGGAAGATTTGCATAACGGCGCCAAATGTTCATGTAAAGAAAGAAGGCGTAACTTTTATTCTCGCAGTAGTAGTGTTGTTGCTGCCATCATGTCGTGGAGACACTGTGTGTTTCGTTGTGAAAGCGAAACTACTTTGTTTGGTGTTCCAAAAGAGGACACGACTAGAAATCAGTGGTTAAGTTGTATTTACAACACTGTTCCAGAACACTTCAACCCAAATATTCAGATGTGTCCAGCGCATTTTATGGAGGACTGTTTCCTGATCCTGGGAGAGTAGACTACAATGCCGGCTGTTCTGACTCACAGACTGTAAGTACGTTTCATATTTAAAGAATTTGTCACTGATGATTCAAACGTGAGTTTTGAGCAGTATGGAGTAGCGCTTGTTGTTTGTCATTTCTCCGATCACAAATGCAGACATGGTTGTATGTTTACGCGGTGCGATGCAACGCGTAAAAAGACAGTACAAGTCATTATAATCTGTAATTATGTCCCAACTGGATGCAACAAATGCCTCGTTTATAATGGATTTTAATGTTTTTGTCTCGTCGCTCCGGCCGGACAAGGCATCACAGTATGGTAGGAGCATAACATTTCCGTCACATGCTTGAGGTATTCGGCCAATCACAGCACACCTCACTTTTCAGACCGAAGGCGGGGCATAGAGGAGAAACAATAGTGTACAGTATGTGGAAAATAATGTTTTTTTTAACCTTAAACCGCATAAACGCATTTCATTACACCAAATACACAAAATAATGTTCTTTTTAGCAACATCATATGACCACTTTAAAATTCCAACAGGGACTGTTAAGCTACATAAAAGTGAATTATAAAACCAAACCAGACTCATGTACTAGTATATGTAATAGTTAATTAGTCATTATTCGTTATTATTTTTGCTACTTTTTTTTGTCCTATTTATGTTTGACAGCTATTTGTCACTTTCTATTTTTGAGAATCTGACAAATCGTCCCCTTGGAATTATAAGGTTCTATCTGCATTCTGAGTAGTTTTGAGATATTGAGCTTCAAAGTTTTTGCATTCCATTCAACTGTGTTGATAGAACCATTTTGTTTTTTAAATAAAAAGTCCCAAAATGTAAATAACATTAAAAATATCTATCACATAATGTAAATAAGGTGTCACAGAATAAGAATATGTGAATAACTCAATTATTAATTCCAAGGGGACGAAATGTGATCTTCGTTTTCATAAAAGGAATTATGTACTTTAGGCTGCAACTTTAATTAGTCATGTCTTAAAGGGATTGTTTACTCATGCATCATAAATCTAGTCCATATTTAAATTCTTCTGAAAAGAACATCAATTTTAAGTCATTATTTACTCATGCTTTTTTTTTGTCCCTTTGAAGCTTGACAACTATTTGTCACCATCTACTTTTGGGAATCTGCTAAATATCTTCTTGTCTGAAAAAGATAATTGCATGTTTTGGAACAACATGAGTGTTTAAATGATGACAGCGTTTTAATTTCAGACCGAACACCCATTTTCCTTTAAAGAGACACGGTTCATTTTAGAAGCACACTCTGTTGTAAATAAACACAGAGCTGTTGGACGTGTCTCTCGGCCAGCGTGTCCGTTAGTGACGGACTCTTTCCACCGGCCGTTATGTTCTGACAGAGGAATGTGGCCCTTGAGACCCGAAGCCACACTGCCACCCACTTCATAACCCACAGACATCAATTCGGGGTTTGTGTGTTGACATTTTGTGGGCTTGACATTTTGTGGTCTTGAAGTGCACACAAGACGGACTTGATTTGAGCTCTCATGCTGTTCCTCCAGTAATTAACTAGTTCTCTCGCTCTCTGTGGTTTTTTTGTGTCTGGGTGAAGAGAGAAAGCGATTGTTTATTCTCTTGGTGCCCTTCAAAAAATGTCCAGATTCTTTTGTGTGCTGTCATGGAGGAGTTTGCTGTGAAGGACTGAGCACGAACGAACCTTGGACTCTGTGTGTGTGTGTGTGTGTGTGTGTGAGTGAGTGAGTGAACGAGGGGGTTGTAACAATAGGACCATTGTAAATGCTTGGCTGGGATTGGATGGGGGTTTGCTGAGCGGCTTCATTAGTCAGTCTGTGTTTCTCTCTCTCTCTCTCTCTCTCGTGCGCTCGTATCTTCTGTCAGAGGGTCGGTGCAGGAGTGTGTGGTGGGATTTACTGCGTTGAGGTGTTCAGGTGGATTGTCTGCTGGCAGCTGGACTGGATTCGTCTCTGTGTGTGTTTCTCAGGTGAGCGTCTCGCTGAGGAGATGATGGAGATTTAGGATTCACATGAGCGTGTCACTGACAGCGTTTGTGTGTGGCTGTTATTAGTGAGTGAGTGAACGAGGGGGTTGTAACAATAGGACCATTGTAAATGCTTGGCTGGGATTGGATGGGGGGTTTGCTGAGCGGCTTCATTAGTCAGTCTGTGTTTCTCTCTCTCTCTCTCTCTCTCGTGCGCTCGTATCTTCTGTCAGAGGGTCGGTGCAGGAGTGTGTGGTGGGATTTACTGCGTTGAGGTGTTCAGGTGGATTGTCTGCTGGCAGCTGGACTGGATTCGTCTCTGTGTGTGTTTCTCAGGTGAGCGTCTCGCTGAGGAGATGATGGAGATTTAGGATTCACATGAGCGTGTCACTGACAGCGTTTGTGTGTGGCTGTTATTGTGTGAGTATTAAGTGTGTGAGTGTGTGTTTAAGGAAAGGAGACGTTCGCTTTGTTTCCTCAGCTGTGCTTATGTTGACTGAACTGTCTTAATCTTGCCGCTTGCTCTCTGGTATTTGGTCACAGTGATTTTTTTTTTTTCATTACTAAAAATGTAACAGTGAGCTGCAGGCAATATTATCCATCCTGCGATGGGACAGACAGGGCTCAAGTGAAGTAAAAGTGAAGTAAACTGACATGAACTGTGTGTTTGTGTTCACAGGAAATAACTGGCACGTCTGAGCTGATGTGTGTCTTTGTTTTAACAGCGTTTTATCTGTCTCTCTTTCAGAATGTGGATGTGAATCTCTCTTTTAACTAATGATGGCGGTTCAGGCTGGTTTGCAGGTATGCAACTTTATGAATTTATGCTTTTGTTTATGTGCTTTTGCATGTTTATAGAATTAGAGGGAGAGTGGATTCGAACCTGTATCCCCAAGATCAGCTTTTTTTTGTGTGTGTCGCCAGCCGCTGTGTCACAGTGTGATAGTTTGAATATGGCTTTAGAAGAAAATGATGTTGGTGATGTTGTGGGTCAAGATCTGAGCTAGTTAGAGAAGAGTTTCATGTTCAGATGGGTGATTGACAAGAAGTCAAACAATAATGGCATTGTCCTATGGTGCGACTATATACTACATGTAACATTTGAAAGATGGATAAAATTAGAATCATTTCATGTTATGTCAGATACTCTTTTTAAAAAAAATAAAAAATAAAAATGTAACTTTAAATGCTGCATAGCAAACATTTTGTACAGTTTGGATTGGAATGGATGACATTTATAATTTATTCTGTCAAATACAATAAACTAACATTTAACATTTTTAATGCTAAATAAAAACAATGTAATGAAAAATGGATTAGTTTGGATTAAAATGGGTTACTTTTAGCAGTGTTATTGAATCATTAGTATTTATAAGATTAACTGTAAGTGAGTGTTAGGTGACTACAAAGCTAATCTAAATGTAAAAATGTGCATTAAATGCATGCACAAATTGATCTAATATTGACTGTTACTAAATACATTTTCTTAGATCAACTGATAATGTAACAAAAATAGTGCATCTCTAACTTTCTTTATGCGCTACACACATATATATACTTTTAAGCTATTATCTGTTGAAAAGAACTACTCGGATACACCTGCTCTTTTCTTAAAGAGGAAACCTGACTCCATACGGCTCCAGGGCAATATTTCCCGCCATTTGTGTTAAATTTGTTAAATCCCTTTGAATTTGAAGTTTGAATAATCTGCTGAACATTCCAAATAGATAATCACAGACATGTGTTGTTGATTTTACACCATCCTGTCTGAATCTGAAGTGATTGGTAATTCAGAATGTGTCCATCTGATGTCATGTGTGAACCGACCACATTATGTAATGCCATTGCAACTTTTGTGTGTGCATGTGTGATTGATTGAACACACCATACTGTTTGCATTGAGTTAACAACCATAAGTGAGAATTAGAGAGGTCCACAAGCAAACACTGACAGTACATTTCAAGAAAAGTTTAACCGAGCAGAGCTGACCAAAATCTGCTATGGAATGGTAATCTTGGATGTCTTATATAATATGAATAAAACACCCCCACATGGAAACGCTTTCCTGTTTAATTAGCCAGGCTTTGTGCGCGAGGAGAAGAAACACTCCATATGTGTGTTAGTAGGAGCCTGAAGCTCTCGCTCGCTCTGTTCCTCATGGGAGTTTGATGCATGTGCGGGAACAGCAGGGTTCATGTACAGAAAGGGTTATGGGATTTCTCTCGGAGTGGCCTGCCTGTGTGTGATTTTTAAAATAGTGCTTTGGTTTTTCAGTCATTCCCAGCACAGCAATGCGATTTTAGGCTCTTTTAAAGATCTGGCCGTGCAGAGTATTGGTAAAGGTTTTTATGGTTTTGTGGTTTGTGTGTTTCAAACAGATGTTTTGCATCAGTCTCAGTCAAGTCACATTTATTTCTATCGTGCTTTATACAATACAGATTGTTTCAAAGCAGCTTTGAAGTAATAAAATAACAGAATCAATGATCAAATTATTCAAATATGAGACAAATCTAAATTCTGCTATAAAACAGCTCTATAAAGACAATAGTGACTATTCAGCTCAAGTCAGTTCAATCAGTGTTGGTTCAATTCATGTTTGTTGCAAAATTAATCTATTGTGAAACAAATTTGATTAAGCACGTTCTCTTATGCTTTAATGCTTTAAGATTCTGCTGCGTGAATATGACTCATCACAACACCATGAAGACCCGAGAAAAAACTGGGATTAAAGTCCAAAACCTGACTTGAAGTAATCTAACAAATCAATCATTGCTGTCAGGAGTGGGCGAGGCTTACGCGAGTGAAGGAGCGCAGCTGCGCGCATGCGTGCTAAACAGACGCAATCGAATAGGAGCACAAAAATTCTGAGTAAAATATACATTTTGCTAAAATATTGGTTGTTGGACATTAAATGTGCCTTTTGTAGAATTTGAAACCTTCATATAAGTGTATTTTTATGATAGCAGTAGGTTACTGTAAAGAGACTATTGTAATGTGTAAATCAAATGTAAGCTAGTTCAGTACTAATTACTAAGCTCAAATGAGTTTCTTATAGCAGTTTAGAAGTCATTTTCTTTATTATTTATTTTCATTTTAATTCAGTGATTTTTTCCTTTAATTTTATTTTAATGCTTTAAAGAGAAATTTTAGATTGTAATGTTCTAATGTTCTGCTATCTGTTCTGCAAAGGTACAGCTGTCATAAAACCAGAGAGAGCCTTTCTGCTTGGCTAGAAACTGTAAAAAAAAAAAAAAAAAAGACAGTCAAATAATAGTGTTCCTATTGGTCAGTGTTAGAGGAACTCCGCTTAGTCTGACAGTTAACCTGCTTTAGACCAGGTTAGTTTCCCAGCATACGTTGCCACAGTGACTGAAGTTGATCTATGTTAAATTTGCTTTAAGGAACCAAATCATTTGACAATGAGTCAGACTAACTGAAATAAGTCTGGCTTATTTGGTAAACTTGTTTTATGAAACAGGCCTTGAGGCATTAAAAGTGATCATATTTTTTCCATTGCATCGAATCGCATTGTGTTGAATCGAATCGAATCACACTGCATCATAATAGGGGTGAATCGTATCGCATCGCATCGGTAGCTGCTTCATGTGCATCTTTAATGTATCGTATCGTTGGCTATGCATCGAGATGCGTATCGTGTCAGCCTCAGTCATGAGATGCACATCCCTAATACTCACTGTTAGGGGTTTGTTTGAATAATCAAGCCCAAGTTTTTAACTTCAGCATGTTTGTGTGAAGTCTGTGAGAGGTTTTACCACAAGTTCACTTATGAGAGTGTTGTTTTATATAAATGTTATTGCTCCTCTGTTTGTGTAAGTTGTCATTTGTTTGATTAGTCATGTTTGTTAGTGCTTGAGTGTTTGCAAACTGCCCTGATTTCAGCAGGGTCGCCGTCTTTCCGGAGAGAGAGAGTGGAATCTGTGTGAGGGGTCATTGTGGCCCCGAGACAGTTTTGTGTGTGTTTCTCTGTGTGCACATGTTGAGCTGTCTGGTTTTCCTCTTTCTCTCTCTCAGGCTTGGTTCGGTGAGAAGTTTGATGTCCTGTTACAGAGTCCTCGCGGCCTGCGCTCTCCCCGGCCCGGTCCGGGTCTTGCTGATGTGTTCCAGTATGACCAGTGGTTGGCTGTGCGACACGAAGCCACACTGGTGCCCATGCAGGAGGATCTGGCCATCTGGCTGAGTGGCATGCTGGGTAAACAAGCCGTCTATGACTCACTCTCAGTGCATCAAAGCGAAAAATTACTGCTATTATTAGTCTATATGTCCTTTCCTTTCGTCGGTCAAATAACTGAAACCCAAAGCCTCATATATCAAGCAAAGAAGTGTGGGAAACGACGTTTGCTCTCGTATAACGGTGATATACGACCTCAGAAACAAGAACTCAATCTCTCGGTCTTTGTAGAATAATGGAGGGTGTTGCCCTTACCTGTCTGTCCACATGCTGAGCATGTTCACCCGGGCCAAAAACGTTCACCCATAAACCTATTGCTCTGTTCGTTGTTGTTTTTTTTACATGAAGTCCTTGTAATCCTATAGTCCTCTTTCAAATAATACACTGAATACGTTGTGGAATTTGAACAAAATACTCTAAATATGACTGTTTTGTGCTGGCAACCTTGTTTATTATCCACTGACAGGGTATTGGCGATTGTGTCGTGATAGGTCTGAATTTTATTTGTTATTCGTAGTTTTCAGTCACGTGACTGGAGTGGAGACCTGGAGGACAAAACAGTCATAGAACTGCAGCACAGGCCTGTCAATTTTACGTGTATGCCTTTAGCAGATGCTTTTATCCAAAGCAGCTTACAAAAGAACACAGCGATTCGTCAAGGGGCAAACAATATTCATAATATACACTGCCTGGTTTATTAGACAACTAGATTAAGGCAAGATTAGGCAAGCTACAAAAGAGGAGAACAGAGAGAGTGAAGGTTTTGGAAAGTGACTTTTTGCTTCATTGTAAAGGTGGTCTCGTTCCATCTTGTACTTAAAAGTGCTCTATGTAATATTTTGACTGTACTAAAGCATAAAAATACCATAATATGTTTGCAGATATTAAGGAAACATGCCAAGTTCACATACTTGTGAGCATGCTAGCAAGGGTACAGCCAGTTATTCTAGTGAATAACATGAAATGTGAGTTCTGTGTCGGAATGTCTGTTTTTTTATTTTGGGGGGTCTGTGTGACTCTGCCCACTGCCAGTTTACCCAGTAGGATTTTGACACCCCAGGTTGCCAGTTGGTGGAAAACACAGCATGTTGCAGCCATGTAAACCAGCAAACCAGAACGCAGATTCTATCTGACCTAAAAACCCTCGGAATCCAGTTAAAAAGCTCTATGACCAGAGGAATAAGTATGTGATTACATCTCTGCCACAATTCTGCACGCGAAAGATCATATTTTGAGCGCGCACAAGTGCGTTTTGCACGCTCGTGAACTGAGTTTTGTGGAGAAAATGTTTGTCTCGCAAAGAAGAAAGTATTTTGAGTGCACGAAAATAAATTTTGCATTTAAAATTAGTTTTTGAATGTGTGCAGACCTTCATTTTTGCGCGTGCAATGTTTCACTAGCTTGCTCACCTGATGCCCGCCCTCAGTGCTCTATAAATTCCAACAGCTCGCTTGCTCAACACAACCCAGCTTTACAATATGCCATAATTCCAGCCAATCAGAGACGAGGCTGCTAAATTCTGATTGGCTGCCTTGACAACCAATCACAACATTCCTTGCATTACCTCGACAGCAGAAGAGGAAAAATACAGTGCATGCATAATTATTATGCAAGTTGATAATCTGATTATATTTTTTTCCAAGCACATTTTACCAATTCCAAATGACATCAATATTAATAACTACTATTAATCTTGTATTTAATCATTTATAATTGATATATAATTATTAATGAACGCTGGAAGTGAAAAATGTCTTATATTCGGGTGCTCATTTCTGTTGTGAATCCTCAATCTGGCAACCCACATTAGCGTCGAGTCAGTCAGTCTGCTAGACGTACTATTAACTGCACCTTTAACATGAACTTATACAATGATATTAAAAGATAACATTTCATTGATGATGCATACTATATACAAGCAAGCAGATGAGCCTTGAAAATTAATGTAACGCATTAAGCATTTTCCCATAGAAAACCGTAATAAAGAAACTGCTTAATGTGCAACTTTGCGCATTGCACTCATATTCTGGGCTCATGTGCTTACCTGTATGTAGTATGCTTAATTAATATAGTGTATAGTGGATTTGGTTCACTGGTTTAAGCCACATTAGGCTTTTTTAAACAATTGTTTTCAATGGGAAAAGCGCATTGCATAACTTGTGTTCATATTCTGAGCACATCTGTATATAGTGTGTATATAACACAACTGTATATAGTGTGCATCATCAGTAAGGTGTATACAGAATCTGGTCACCGTTTTAGTATATAAGTGCTTAGTACAATCCTGGTAAAAATAACTGGTAGGAAAGCCTTGTTTTGCCCTCTACGTGAAAACGAAGATATTGTACTTGTGATCATCAAAGCCAGCTCGGGATGGCATAATGATGCAGAATTCAATTAAAGGTTACAGTTGTTCTGAGGTCATTGGAAACATAGATATGTGTTTTTGTAGGTGAGCAGGTGACAGCCGAATGCTTCATGGAGGAGCTGGACAACGGTGTTAAACTGTGTCGTTTGGTTGGAATTCTTCAGAGTAAAATCCCACAGGATTCGGAAACACAGGTGCGTAAGGAATGTGTGACGTGTGGTGGGCGGCGATGCAGCTCGGATAACCGCAGGACTGTTTGTGTGTAATTCCCATTTCTGTTTTGTTAGCTGCTGTCAAAGAAAATCCTTAAGCCACATTAGGCTTTTTTAAACAATTGTTTTCAATGGGAAAAGCGCATTGCATAACTTGTGTTCATATTCTGAGCACATCTGTATATAGTGTGTATATAACACAACTGTATATAGTGTGCATCATCAGTAAGGTGTATACAGAATCTGGTCACTGTTTTAGTATATAAGTGCTTAGTACAATCCTGGTAAAAATAACTGGTAGGAAAGCCTTGTTTTGCCCTCTACGTGAAAACGAAGATATTGTACTTGTGATCATCAAAGCCAGCTCGGGATGGCATAATGATGCAGAATTCAATTAAAGGTTACAGTTGTTCTGAGGTCATTGGAAACATAGATATGTGTTTTTGTAGGTGAGCAGGTGACAGCCGAATGCTTCATGGAGGAGCTGGACAACGGTGTTAAACTGTGTCGTTTGGTTGGAATTCTTCAGAGTAAAATCCCACAGGATTCGGAAACACAGGTGCGTAAGGAATGTGTGACGTGTGGTGGGCGGCGATGCAGCTCGGATAACCGCAGGACTGTTTGTGTGTAATTCCCATTTCTGTTTTGTTAGCTGCTGTCAAAGAAAATCCAGTTCAAGAAAAACGCCTCCCCTGGATCATTTTTCGCTCGGGACAACACAGCAAATTTTCTGTCCTGGTGTCGTCACATAGGAGTGGACGAGACATATCTGTTTGAGTCTGAGGGTTTGGGTAAGAGAACTTTTGATCAGGTATCTAGGTGCAATGTAGAATTAAGTCCCCGCAGTAGTTAACAGTTAAGTTATTGTACTATTCAGCCACGAGCAGAACGGGATGTTTTGTGCATCGCCTAGTTTCTATTTCTGTCATGATGGATGTACTGCCACATTAATCCAAAATCCTTATAACCTTATAACATATTATTTATAATATTTAAAACAATGTTGCTTACATTGTTCCAACAAAACGTTATGAAGTGAAGTGATACTTTGCTTAGGGCCATGTGATTTCTACAATATGGAAAACGTGGAACAGAATCCAGTCATAAAAATTAAATTTTGGATTGATAAATTAATACTATTATCAAATACACACAGAAACACATGCCTTCACTACAAACCACCAAAATAAAAATGTAGTTTAACTTGAAGAAATGGTTACAGACATATATTATTATTGTACAGTAGAATGTACTTAATAAGTTTACATAATACAGTTTATTATATTTTTTTTTTATGAATATCACTCAATGTTTCAAACTTTTCCATCCATATTTTAATTTCCGTAATAAATTTCTGTGCATAAGTTTGTTATTCAGCTTTGTTTTCACTTTGTATTTTTGTATCTTTTTTTTAATTATTCATTTGATTTACATATTAAATTAATATTTTATGCATTCATTTGTTTTATGGTTTTTGGTAATACATTTACAAACCATAAAACACATCACAGAATTTTGGAAAAAATAAAACACAATAGTGTTTTACACAATAATAATATATTAAATTGTTAAAATTGTATGAATTCACTTGATTAGACATGTTTTTTGATTATTATACAGAATCCAAAGAATTAAACCAAAAAACTGAATTTGGGAAAAAATAAAACCAAATTTGGGAAAAAAATAAACTTACTTCATAGATCTGCTTGCTACGATTCGTGATTATTTTTATATCAATATTACAAGAAAAATTAGACTGGATTGAAGGTTTTGAGCAGCATGAAGACCAGCTCTCCAAAACGGATAGACTTCACCTGCATCTGTCCAATCTCTCACTGTCAGTCCATTAGAACTGGACTTTAATCATGTTGGTTAAATGAATGTATTTAAACCGAGACCAGCGTCCTCCTGTGCGTCCTCTGTGGCCCCGCTGTGCTAATGTGTCTCTCTCTGAGCTGTTTAACAGACCGTAATCGTTTCAGAGGATCTGTGGCCGTGTACGTCAGTTGAGCTGCAGCTCCGCACGTCCCCGGCTCTCCGTAAATCCATGATGTTAATGAGTGTGAGCGATCTGGGGTGTAAGTCATTAACCTGACGGCCCTAATGCTTGCTGTCCTGAAGAGCGCCAGTTATCAGTCCATGTGTCACCGTGCATTATGGGATACAAACTGTCAGAACTCAGTGTGACCTGTAATCGGGCCGGTGTGAGAGATGGGCCAGCAAGTTTCCAAACCCAAACGAATGTCAGTGGTGCATGTGGCTAAAACCGAGACTTTCTTGAAGGTGTTTTTTTTTTTAAATTTATTTAAAAAAAAAAAATTTTTTTAAGTCTTGATATTTTTTCCAAAATTATGATTGGCTGACCTGTGTGCATTAAAAATGAGTAACAACATTTACTACTGAGTTGAAAGGTTAATTAATGATCTTTTTGGAGTTTTAAGACCTGAAATTATGAATATGTAGTACTTTTTAAATTTTAAATGATTTGATTTTCATTATATAACCCATTCAAGTCAAGACACTAGAGGCAAACCATTGTTTTTTCATGCACTGGTCATTTTTGAGATTTTAGGCTATCTTGCGTCTATAACATGCCTTCTTTCAGACTAGTGGAATGTAGTACACATTTAAGCCCATTTCTAAAAAATGTTTTGCCGGTGACAGTATTTTCTGATTTACGGAGTCCTACAAAAGCTTTGACTCTTATATAGCAAAATAAAACAAGAATTTTGAACCTGGCTTTATCCAATATTTAGATTCTTGTTCTGGAAATATATGCAAACGAGTGCATATGTAATTATATAATGCCTCATTTTGCATATTTAAACAGAACATATCAGAAGCAGGGTTATTATCATTAGCTAAAACTATTAAAAATATTTTTGTTAATTGAAATAAGGATGACATAAAATTATACTTTTTGGATGAAAAGCTTAAAATAAATGAAATTTATTTGAAGTTAAAGCACCAAAATGATTAAGTGGAAATAAATAAAAACTAAAATAAAAATAAACATGAATAAATTAAACTAAAACAGTAATACTTAGTATTAATAAAATGAACAAAAGCACATAATCTCCTCTGTAAAAACCTAATTATAATATATGTCCATAAACCACTACAACAGTGTTATATATTTTGCTGACTTGTGTACTTACATTATCCCAAATGTTTAAATCCAGAGAAATAAGCAATTTTAACTAGTGACACGGAGCGTGTCCATAGTGTCATTGTGTCGCCTGCCAATGACGTCATAACCCCTAAACAGCGCTGCTTTACCCCACATACGCACGACCGGAAGGAGCGGAAGCGCTCGACTGTGGCATAATAAAAGGGCCTTATACAGCTCTCCCAGACTTAATGCACCTGAAAGAGCTGCATTACCCTCCTTTGACATTTTCAGTAGGGAACTCAAGAAAGTGCTTTCCACATCAATTTCTGTTACATACTCGCTTCTATAAAGATTTTTGTAAAAACCAACTGCTCTCTTTCGAATAACACTAGGATTCAGCAAAACTTGGCCTTCTTCAGACTGGAGGGCCTGAATTAATCTCTTCTGTCCATTCTTTTTCTCTAAACAGAAAATTTTTTTGACGGTGCATCCATATGACTTATATTTTGAAATCTTGATCTGACCAACGCCCCCTGTGTTCTATATTCCAGCAGATCCGCTAACTGGGCTTTCTTTTTAAAAAAACCATCAAAGTGATGATTTTCTCCAGTAGATTCAGCTTTTTGTTGATATTCAGTTAATCCATTTTCCAATGACTCCAAAGACTTTTTAAAATCTATAGTGACGTTATGAGTGTATTGTTGACACAATTGCCTAATTTGGACTTTACCAACGTCCCACCACTGTTGTATTGCAATATGCTTCAGCAGAGGAGATGTCGCGCTAATTGGGATCTTTTTTTTTGGTGAAATCAATTTTCCATATCGTGATAAAGCTGTTGTTATTATCTCGTCACTGAGAAAGGGGGGAACATTAGATAAGGGGACTCTTTTCGAAGGCAACGAGAGGGGAAGCACAGAAACAAACTCACCATCAATCACAATTCCCTTCTCAACTACTTAATTCACCTTTTCAACGCTATTTAGAAAAATCACTGTAGCGTGATTCATCCTAGATGCTAACTGGAAGTGATAAACTACAATTTAACAATCTTTTTCAATCAGACTGCCAAAAGTCAAGCTATTTTACCTAGAATTGTATTAAGAATCCAAAATAACCATAATTAAGAGATTTTACAATTTGATATATTACAGCATTCTGTTCCACATACTGTATAATATAATGTTAATACTAATGTTTTCTGTAGAAATCATTACCCATTTCACAGTTTAACTGTAGGCTTTAGTCTAGGGTTATTATGGTGAACTGAAACTAAAACCATAAACATATTCATTACTTGAAATAAACATTACCTGAAATAAAATGTAAACATTAATTTTTTTTCACCTAGTTGCCAAGGCAAACTTTCTCATTTTAGTTTGTTAAAGTACTAAAATAACTTTAAAGAGGTCATATGATGCTGCTAAAAAGAACATTATTTTGTGTATTTGGTGAAATGAAATGTGTTTATGTGGTTTAAGGTTCAAAAAACACATTATTTTCCACATACTGTACATTATTGTTTCTCCTCTATGCCCCGCCTTTCTGAAACGCTTTTTACAAAGCTCAGCAGTCTGAAAAGCGAGGTGTGCCCTGATTGGCCAGCTATCCAGTGCGTTGTGATTGGCCGAATACCTCAAGCGTGTGACGGAAATGTTACGCCCCTCACCATACTGTGATGCCCTGTCCTGCCGGAGCGTAACATAAAACCATGTCTGCATTTGTGATCGGAGAAATGACAAACAACAAGCGCTACTCTAGACTGCCGAAAAAACTCGCATTTGAATCATCAGTGGCAAAATCTTTAAATATAAAGAACGTACTTACAGTCTGTGAGTCAGAACAGCCGGCATTGTAGTCTACTCTCCCAGGATCAGGAAACAGTCCTCCATAAAATGTGCTGCACACATCTGAATATTTGGGTTGAAGTGTTCTGGAACAGTGTTGTAAATACAACTTAACCACTGATTTCTAGTCGTGTCCTCTTTTGGAAGACCAAACAAAGTAGTTTCGCTTTCACAACGAAAAAGCGTCACACACCGCGGCCTTGAGTGAGCAGAGGCCGGGGGCTAGAGTGAGGAACGGCCGGAGGGCTAGAGTATGTGGAGGCCGGCTAGAGTGAGAGGAGGCGGGCGGGCTTGAGAACGGTGCGGCCGGCGGATTCGACGAAGGAGTGTCCGGTGGGCTTGCGGCAACCACATGTGACGACCCCGGGCTGGACTCCGCTTCGTCCACAGTGAAAGCCGATCCGGCGATCCACAGTGCAAAGTTGATGTATTTCCTCAGTGACCAGCACAGATCAGCTCCAGGCATGACGAAGCGGATATCGTCCTCTTTTGGAAGGCCAAACAAAGTAGTTTCGCTTTCACAACGAAACACACAGCGTCTTCACGACATGGCGGCAGCAACAATACTGCAGCGAGAATAAAAGCTACACCTTTCTTTGTGAGAACATTTGGGCAGCGTTATGCAAATCTTCCCACATTGTGACGTAGATATGTAGGGGGGTGTTAGAACGAGCCGTTTTAGGTAGGTGTGGTTGACTCTTAACTTTTATAAAGAATATCTCTTTGGATTTGAAAACTTTGCAACATTACAGATCTTCTTTATGCACCAAGAGCTTGTAACACTCCAAAGAGAAAGGAACAATTGAAATCGCATCATATGACCCCTTTAAATAAACAAAAACTTAATAAAAAACTATATAGACATATAAAAAAAATTAAATGACAAAAAGACATCAAAATTACTAAAACTTTTAACTGTAATTATACAATAAAAAAAATATTATACAAACAATAATGATACTAAAATAAGACTGGCTTAATCTGAAATATTGTACATTTGAAGATGTGTTTTATTTGATAGATTTTCCTCCATGATAAGGCTCAGCATCTCTCTTCGTTCTGACCCAGTTATCATACATCTCCAGTTGAGTTTATTGTTTGTTGAGTGTGTCATATTGGGGAACGATTTTGTCTCTCAGCCAAATAACCAGTGGGATATCCTCGGTCCTGAGTTCAGTGCTGAAAGTTCATACATTATCTGCAAACTAGCTGTTATCTTTCCATCTTGCAAGAAAGTGAATTTTTCTCTCATTTCACCCGAACAAACTCTTCTGATTTGTAGGATCGTGCGGACCAGGATGACCCTCCCTGTAACTGCACACAGAAGTTTTCCATCGAGTATCTGTCTGAGGGACGCTACAGGCTCGGAGACAAGATCCTGTTCATCAGGGTAGGAGCAGCTTTTTTACGAGTCTTTAAAGTCACAATAAAGTGGAAGTAGCAACAGATCTTTTCTTGCATATTGTGACATACGTCCAAATGTGTAAAAGATCAGAAATGATCAAATGTAGGGTGGAACTTGGTTCTATGTATCAGTTGTTGATTGAATTTTAAGATGTGGGCGTGGCTCTCTAAAGTGGAGGCGGGGTTTAAGAGCTCTAGATGCTTAGAAAAGCCCTGCAAACGTCATCAAAGAGAAGTGTCCTTTCACTGGAAGATCCAGTTATGACATTTTGTGTTCCTGTGGCTCACTGGTAGAGCATTGCGTTAGCAGCGCAAAAGGTTGTGGGTTCAATTCCCAGGGAAAACACATACTGGTAAAACAAATGTATAGCCTGAATGCACTATAAGTCACTTTGGATAAAAGCGTCTGCTAAATGCATTAATTATTATATGCATGGATGAATTGTTCACATTCATCTATCAAATCTATAACATGCATTTAGAAAGTAGGTAGGGTGAATTTTCATTTCATGCTGATTATTAGAATCGGCACTGTTACATTATCTTGTTTTCATTCTGTTAAAATCCCATTGCAGATAAACCGTATGCAAACACGCTCATCTGAGCGCGCTTGCCTCTCATTCACAACTACTGTAGCAATCCACTAAAGCCAATCTAGTTTGTTTAACCAGCACATGCTGAACTGTCATAACATTCGCTCACACAAACACACACATCCAGATTAGGTAGAACATGCACATGCACAAACACTGCGGTCAAACTACATGCCAATATATCAAGTGAGTTTAATAGTGATGCTCCGAAAATTGATTTTTTTTGTTTCGGCTTGAACAGTTTTGGATGGATGAAATCATCTCTTCCTTATTGCTGCTAGTTATAGCATGAAATAAACATGAATGAACATCGAAATGTATATTGAACTAAACAGTACAACTTACTGAAATGATTCATGTCTCATGTAATTGTTCAGTCAGTATTTAAACCACAGAACGACAGCTTATAAACGAACAAAAAACATCACATTTACCTCAGAAAAGCCATTCAATATCCATAAACTCATTATCTAGTTAGCTTGAAAAAATAACTCTAGAGAGGAGCATTATGATAAATATATGCACTATATTACATATTCATTATATTTTTACTTAACCTGTTGAATTCATTAATATGTATAAATCTGTCATGAAAACAAGTTATTACAGACATTTTTTAAATGTTTATATTTCAACAACAAATTAGAGTTGAAATATAATTATACAATGAAAAAGCTGATATAAAAGCTGCCTAATGTGCAATTTATATGTTAGTAAAAAATTTTAAAAATGCTGATTATTAAATATATTTGATTAATTAATTAATTAAATATTTTTTCGATTTGAGTTTTTTGATAAATAAAAACGTCAGTTTTGTGTAAAAATTGATTTCGGTGCATCAGTTTAGTTTTTTTTCAGTGTTGATTAGGGATGCACCGATATGAAAATTTTGGCCGATACCGATAACAGAAAAAATGAGCCGATATGGGCCGATACCGATATGGTGGCCGATATATCGTGCATCCCTAGTGTTGATTATTACATTTAATTAAATAATTGATTATTAAATACATTTTATTTAGAAATCGAATGTATATAATATAGAATAAAAACTGTCTTGTGCAATTTACATATTTATATACATCTTAGTTTTTATTTAAATGTGGATTATTAAATGTGATTAAATAATTGATTATTAAATCATTTTTATTTTTTGGCTAAATAAAAACGAATTAACTAATAAAAAACTGTTTTGTGTTTAATTTACATATTTATATACATCTTAGTTTTTATTTGAGTGTTGATTTTTACATTTGAACAAGTAATTGTTTATTAGATGTTTTTTTTTTTCTTCGGGTTTTTGGCTAAATAAAAACTTAATAAACACTGCCTTATGTGCAATTTACCTATTTATGCATCTTAGTTTTTATTTGAGTGTTGATTTTGAAATGTATTATATACATCTTAGTTTTTATTTAGTGTTGATTTATTAAGTACATTTGATTATTAAAAATACTTAATATAGTAATTTCGGTGCATCACTAGTATACATTATGTTGCTTACTAATTAAAGTCCTCTCTCTTAGATGCTCCATGGGAAGCACGTGATGGTGCGTGTGGGTGGAGGTTGGGACACTCTGAAAGGGTTTCTGATGAAATACGACCCCGACCGCGTGCTGCAGTTCACCACTCTGGAGCAGAAGATTCTAGCCTATCAAAAAGGCCCGTCCGGCTCAAGCCCCGCCCACAGCTTGCAGGCCGCACAGCCGCCCACAATGGACCCCATCGCAGCCGTTAACCTCCTCCCAGAATCGTCCTCTTCATCGTCATCCTCCACGACATCCGTGTCCAAACCCAACACACCTACACCCGCGTCCCGTGGTGTCGCCCAGTCGCCCGCTTCCACGCCCTCGATGCCTCGCAGAGCCGCCGCACCCAAGAAGATTTTTCATACACCCACCGCTTCACCGAAAATGACCGCTCTTTCATCGCCCATCCCGAAAAGAAGCCCGCTTCCCCAGGCAACCCAAAAAGCCCCTTCCGCTGCATCCAAGGCCAGACTGCGCCCGCGTGGATCTCAGTCTCAACCTCGCAGTCCCGTCTGTCCCGAACCCACCTGCAAGCTGCCTAAACCTTCAGCCCCACCGACATCTGCACAGAAACCAGCCCGGCGCGACGCACGCCCACCTCCCGCACCCGTCCGCTCGCGGCTCGCCCAGAGACGCCCTCCTTCCCCTACCTCCGCCCTGCACTTAGAGTCCAGGAAGGGTCGTCCCGTTTCCCCTCACTTGGCTCCGAATGACCCCAAACAGACGATTCCTCTCGCAAAACCTTGCAAGAGTAAATCTGTAGAGCAGAGCACAGCTGCTACACGAACTGTTGCGTCTATCAACGCTAAAACAACCCACAGGAAACCTCTGGTCAGCAGTAACCCTCCCGTCCAGACGCCCGCTGTGAGCAGCACTACCCACAAACACACGGCACGGACGAAACCCAGCAAACGTGACGAACCCTACTTTGAGATGAACAATAAGAGAAGGGTAAAGAACTAAGAATGCTGGGATATGTATTTTTTGCGTCACACTTCGCATACGGATTTATTCGGATTCCATATTTAATTTTAAGTGAAAACGAGGCTGTGATCGATGTGTGCAGTCTGTTTGATTTGTTGGATTTTTTAAATGTTGAAAGTACATTTTCAAAACATTTATAGTAGCCAAGCCATGAAAATGAGACTTTTAATTCAGAACAACCTATTAAACATACTGCACATCTGTCTTTAACAGCCACATTTTCATTTGCATGAAATTAAGTGTCATAACCTGTTTTTTTTTCTTCTCATCTGTCAAAACTTCTGTCTCAGGCTTTCATTCGTGCTGGGATATATAGTAGCTACTGCGGCGCTGAGGGTCACGCTTCACATACAGATTTATTCGGATGCCATATTTAAGTGAAAACAAGTGCAGTCTGTTTGATTTGTATGTTTTAAATGTTGAAAATACGTTTTCGAAACATTGCAAATACATTTTCGTTTCTTTGAAAATGTTTCTACTGCACAAGCTATGAAAATGAGACTTAATTCAGAACAACCTTTTAAACATACTGCACATCTGTCTTTAACAGCCTCATCATTTTTCATTTACATTAAGTTAAATATGACATAATCTGTTTGTTTTCTTGGCATCTGTCAAAATGTTCAAGCTTTCATTTGTGCCATACTAAAAATCCTGTTTATGCCTCGGATACATTTTACACAAATTAACACGTTTCTAATTTCTTCTTTAGCTACTGTAATTATCATTATTTTAGCTAAGAGGTTAGGAAGCATTTATAGGTTTAGTTTAAATGTTTGAAATCATGCACGGTTATGCACAAACTCATATCATCATCATCTTTTGTGTTTAATATCCGTTACTTTTTTTTTTTTTTTAAGTCAGTCCATGTCTGTGATCTGATTTGACTCCTGATTGGGTTATAAATGTATTAACATTGCTTGTTAATACCGTAAATCATTTATTCACTGTATGTCAATGTATTCTGAGCTCATAAGAAAAACCAGCAGAATGTTGGAAAGGTAAAGTGGTTTAGACTAATGTCTGTCTTTATGCATGATGTGCTGCGGGGCATACAGATCACGTGACACTCAGTTCTGTTTCCACTTCATATTTACATTGAGAGCACTGTTACTGTATTACATAAGACATATGTAGATGAATCCACTCTCGTTGTTCCAGCTCTAATCTGACACCCCATAATATGCAGAAACACCTCTCTATGGCAACCAAAGCGAAATTCATGTTTGAATCTTGTATGGCATCATTTTAGAGCACATTTTAAAAACTATTTTAGAGTATTAAGGGTTTACGTGCCTTACATTTTTTGTGTTTGTTGGAATATAGGTGTGGTTTATTATCACACACACTTGAAGAATTGTATTTAGTCGGGATGGTTAGTTTGGCAGGTACTGCGAAATTAATTTGTTTTAAGTTGGTCAAACAGCCAGCTGTTATTAAATGAAATGCTACCTCCTTTACGCCACACAAATACTACTGACTCAGTCATGCCCATAAACACCTGAGCTTTTATTTTATTACACTGTCCAAGACAATGCTAAATATTTTCCAGTTTATTCAAGAGTTGTGGTCTATACAGAAAGGTTATTATAAATATTAATTTTATGTGTAAGGGTAATTGTTCTCTTTTTTTTTTTTCCCCCCGGATATGGTTCTTTTAATTATATATTTGTGCGCCAGATTGTGTGAGAGAGATTCTTCCAGCACTTTAAGGAAATGTATGTTTTGAATGTAGCTTATTTTCGTTGTTTGTCTTTGCATTCTGTCAAATAAAGATTTATAAAGTGTATAATTTGCTTGTAGCCTACTTCAACGGCAACTAATTCGTTCAGAATACCAGGTAAGTTTCTTTTATCTTAATATTTGTACTGGCATTGTGTAAATATCAGGATAATATTACAGTGAAATGAGTTTTACTACATCAATCTCTGTTGATATGAGATTATAATAGTTTTGTGTGTGATAGTGCTGCGGCTTAGTGGCTAAAAACACAAACTACAACCTCAAAGTTACCAGCATTTTATATTTGACTTAACCAGTGCAGTCTAATTAGTAGTTTATGCCAGGGTTATCATAGTTAACTAAAAGCTAAAACCATAAAAAATGACTGAACTCAAACTCAAATACTAGGACAATGGACCAAAATGGTAATAAAAAAATAGAAACATTTTGTCTTTGTAGTGTAAATGCGTACAAAACCTTTTAATTTCAGTCAGTTGCCAAGAAAATTTATTTTAATTTAGTTGAACTTAATGTGCTACAATAACTAAAACTGAATAAAAAAATGTAGACATTAAAAATACTAAAAATTGCAAAAACATCAATTACTAAAAACGTATAAAAAAATTAAAACTGATTCAAAATAATAATTAAAACTATAATGCTATCTCAGTGATAGTAAAATAATTATCAACATGCATTTTAGTGCGTCAAGCATTAACACGTTTATTAAAAAGTTATTTTCAGTCAGCATGCTGATGCATATAATCACTTTTTAAAAATCTAACAATTCCTCTAAATTAATTTTTTATCGACTGACTCATTTCAACATTAAGCATGTTTCTTTGGCCAACTCGTGCAAGAATGTTCTTGGTTCAAACGACTCAAATATAGCAATTTAATACAGCATATTTTCGATGTTTAACCACATGATGACGCACTCTACCCACTTTTATTAATCATATCTGGCTACTTGCAGCTTTTCCCCCTTCAAAACCTTAATATGCTACTTCATATCTGGGGTTGTCTGAGTTTAGCAAAGACTGGATATATAATTCTGGTTTGCTCGTGTGTCCATCAGATGATAGACTAATATTAAACAGATTAGGTGGACAATCTGGCAGAGTGGCTTATGTCTAATAACTTCTCTGATGATGCAGGTTTTTAGTTGCTGAAGTAAAGCTGCATGTAAACTGAGTCCTTCAGTTCAGTCTTTATGTCTGTGCATTTCTATATGCAATGTTTGCATGGTTTCCTCATGACATGTCCAGTCCTTTAAGATTTGTCCAAGGGGAAAAAATAATTTCAAAGACATTGCATTTAGAAAAAGCATAAGATAATCATATTTCCATCGCATTTCTAGGCCTAGGCGTTTTAAAATCCGCTGATATTTCCAGGTTTTCCATCACCGTGAGAATCCAGTACATAAATGCATGGTTTACACAGCTATGCATTCATATCCAGCTGCATTAATAAATATACACCAGTACAAAACTTTAGATATTAAAATACAGAAACGGAGTATTTATATACAACAATAAATGAACACAAACTAGGTTTACAAATCTAATTAACCAAAATATTAAAGAGTCAAATATCTTCCAGACTCCAGATAAAATGATTCTCCATCAAGTTTATTAGGTGTTATTTAAAATATGATATGAATCTAATGTAGCTAGATAAATACATCACGTTATTCGTGTGGCGCAGCGCTCGAGCTGCGTCAAAGCCAGAGCGCTCAGCGCGCGGACATTATTCTCCACCGCGCGACGCCTCAACATATCAGCAGGCGCAGCTAAACGCATCCCAAACTCGCTCGAAATAGCGTTAAAAATACAAAACTCCGCTTCCTTGAACTGTTCTTATCGTCTGCTTGACAAAATGGGGTCTTTCGCGTCGAGCTCCGCCATTTTGTGGCAGAATAACTTGCGAGAGGGGTGCGTGTAATGGTTGAATGTAGTCACCCCGTGTCGTTTATATCCGCCCGGCGGTTAATGCAAGGGACCGGGAGTAAATTACGGTCCACCCGCTGCGACAAAGCGCAGATTGTGCTCCTTTAACTGCAGACACCACGGTTTAACTTAAGCTATTAATGTTTATTTCAGAGCAGCGCTCTGTGCCAGGTATGTGGCGTTTTGTCACAGACTGCAAGGCTTTTGGTCATACATTTTCACAAGTATATAGAATATGTATAGAATATAGCAAAACTCAGTTAGTAGTTCAAATGACACAAATCTATTCATTTAAACTTCTTTCTCAAAGTTATTTGTGAGGGACAGAAAGCACCTAACACTTAGTTGGTGTGTCCCAAATCGCGTACTTATGCACTATTCTATGAAGTTTTGCGGTATAAATCATAGATTTGTGACACATTCGACCGATCCAGATACGTTGACGTGTCCGCCATTTTGGAACTGGTGGATGCGCTTACGTATCGCAGCCCATAGAAACAAATTGAATAAACATGATCCCTGCAAGTTTCAAAATCGAAACCCACTGTATCACTGTATTTCTGAAGGAATCCGACTGTCTAAAGAAATTTTTGGATGTCATTTTCATTTTGTCTTGCATGTAATGCCTGATAAAGCAGCGTTTGTGAGCTGAGCGCTGCTTTGTGTACAGCCCTTACCCGGGAAACCTCTATCTCTCCAGCTCTACAAGCGCCTCCTGCTGACAGAGAATTAATTTGCATATGTGGGAAACACTGGTTGAGTACATAGTGCATAAGTGCATAGTATATAGTGTGCCATTTGGGATGCAGCTGCTGTTTGACTCAATTTTATTCTTTTGCTAGTGTAAGCTGTCAGTTCCCTTCCCCCAACCAACGCTCATGACAGGCTTGCGTTTTTAACGGTCTGGCGGAGTTTCGCGACTCCCCCTTCGCTCCAGCGAGCTCCGTCTATTGTTCATGAGCGGCGCTGTGGCGGTTGCAGTACCGACGCTTGCCGGCTGGGGAGCGCCGCTGAGTTGCGCGGCCTCGGGTCTTTTTGTCTGAACTGGATCCCTCTGCCGCTTCACAGTGTGCGCGATTAAACCGGAGCCGCGTCCGTCCCGCACTGTCAAAAAACCCTCTCCAAACCCCAACGCAGGCGCAGCCGGTACCGTTGTTTTCCCGTGCAGCCATGAGCGGTGCCGCGGTGCCGTTGGACTAAGCTCGCTCGGGTTCGCGGGCTGCCGTTGGAGCGGGTTTCTTCACTCTCATCCTCCGTCGTTTCTTTAACTTTTCAAACACGCAGCCGCGCCGGAGCGGAGCGGACCGGAGCATGGGATCCCCGGACTCTTAGGAACCGATTCTGAGCCGGGGGTTTGACCGAATTTCAGCGAAACGATGGCGAACTCGACAGGGAAAAACCTCCCCGTGCAGCGGAGGAAAGGACAGGCTTTCCTGGACGAGCTGCGGCAGTTTCACCACAGCAGAGGGTGAGCGGGAATTTCGCTCTTATTATAAGTTGTGTGACCGGTGAGGGGGTCCGGACGGTGTTCAATTGGGCTGTTTTTCTCCACAGATCTCCGTTTAAAAAGGTTCCCGTAGTGGGTGGGAAGGAGCTGGACCTGGGCGCTCTGTATATGAGAGTGGTGTCTTTAGGGGGCTTCGCGAAGGTAAGTTCCTCACACACACACTAAACTTAACACTTCTCATCTCTCACACACTCTTCCAACTCAACTTCTTGGCTCGGTTCGGTGGATCTGTCTGCGGTTCTGCCGTGCATCGGCCTGTGTAAGTGTATGTATGTGAGAGAGAGAGAGAGTGTGTGTGTGTGTGTGTGTGTGTGTGTGTATTCGCCCCACACACACTTTCACACACACTCACTTCAAAATTACCGGGTGGCTTTTACATCGATTACTCGTACCGAGGCTGAGGCACCGAACCCCGTCCGGACCCGCCGTGTACATCAGTGGCTTTATCCCTCCCGTGTGGCGGAGGGTTGAGCGACTGTAGGCCGCACTCAGGCCTGTGTATTCCGCGCTGTAAATGCAGCCGCAAACCTCGCCAGATCCGCGGTCCGGACGCCGGGGCTCGGACGAGTTAGCCTCGGAGCACCTAGTTTCCCTGCTACTGGTTTGATTTATTCATCTCACAATGGAAAGTGTAAGTTAGCCGGAGTGCTAATGGGAGTTAGCATGCACACACATACACACACAGACAGACAGACAGACACTCTCTCTCTCTCTCTCACACACACACACGGTCCTGCATCGGAACCGAACCCCTCTCACCTGTCTCATCACCCTACAGGTGTCCGACAAGAACCAGTGGGCCGAACTGAGTGAGGATTTCAATTTCCCCAGGAGTTGCTCGAATGCTGCTTTTGTTTTAAAACAGTACTACCTTCGGTGAGTCTTTCTTATTCAGTTTCTCTCTCTGATCAGCTCCAGCACATGTGCTCAATGTTTACAGGCGCTTCTCTGCTCTGATGCACTCAAACATGCGGCTCGGTTCTGACTCAAAAGCGTGTTTTGGAGGATCGTATGTCCGTGTTGCTGATTGCATAAAGCAGACTTTTGACAGTGTTTTAATATCAGCTCATGTTGTCTTGCTAATGCAACATTATGTGGCAAAACAATTTAAATCAGGGAGTTTTACAGTGATAAATGGTTCTTCTGGACTTGTGTTTGAGTCACTTTTAAGGA